CTTCAAAAATCTTGGATTTACTTGAAATTGAAATTCATTGGGTCGTCTTATCACAGCTAAATTGTTGAAATGTGCGATGCATCGGGGACGGAGTACGTAATCACACGGTGCACTCCGTAAAAGGTGACGCAAGCGCAATATTTTTTCTACGATTATAGGTATATCAGAATCTGATGGTAAATAGGGAAATTCAATTTTGTAGTAAGCTACACTCGGGTAATTAGATTAAACGTCTTGATATTTCTTATTTTTATCTATCATAAGTAGTATTATTGAACACGAAGAAATCTAAGTAAGAGTATTTTTTTTTATTTTGCATTCATAAACTAATAAATAGAGGAAACACTCTATTCATTAGTTTATGAATGTAAAATAAAAAATATTAAATGTCTTATAAAACTGAATTAGCTAAGATTCGTGTAAATAAGTTAAATAAAAACCATGTGTTTGAAGAGCATCCCCCGCCCTCTTTTTAACCCCCGACGTAAAAAGAGGGTTGTCTGTCTGTCTGTGGCACCGTAGCTCTTAAACGGGTGAAGCAATTTGGGTGCGGTTTTTTTTTGTTTGAAAAGTGACTTCGTCGAGACTGTTCTTAGCTATGATCCAAGAAAATCTTTTCAGTCGTTTGAAGATCATTAGCTCTTTTGTTTCGAGGAGTTTTGAAAGTTTCAAATTTAATTTTATTAGTTAATTTATTTTAATGAAAAAATATATTCTAATAAATTTGTATGGAGACACTCTTTAATATCAGCTAAACTATTAGCTTGGTGGTTTATTCAACTGATTATAATAATAACTTGTCTTATCCATGACAATCAGAGGTTTTGGTAAAACTTGAAATCAGTTTCTCTATGACCAATTTTCTAAAAACAACATTCATGACGTGATGGTAGTCAGAAGATTTTTTTGCGCCCAGAACCAATTAAAAAGGGCTACCCTGTTAACGCGAGGAGGTGGTCACTGTGACTAACCCATCCTACCACCCTAAGTGTACCCACTAAACACCACTTGTGGGACTGGTATTGGCTTATTAGGCCTTTCTGCCGAATCGGAAGTAACCCTCTTTTAGGAAAAGAGGGCGCAGGCGGCTACGAGCCACTGAGGGGGAGCCTACTAAGGCAAATTTAAGAAGAATCGGCCTGAGCCGCCAGGAGGCAGTTCAGGTCGGTTGAAATTTTGTTTGGCGGGTCCAAGAGAGAGTTTCTCGGCCTGCGGACTCGATAGCGAGAGGGGAGTGGGGCTGCATAAGTAGCTGCCTCACGAATAAAATTATTGGAATGAGACTCTGAGGCTTTGAAGAAGTTCTCAGAGAGTGTTTTTAGAAATTGTTGGATTGTAGGGAGCTCTAAGTCCCGATGGAGTTCGGCGTTACGGACGTACCAGGATGCGTTCGTAACTCGATGACAAGAGGTTTTGAACTATTTGGAGTTCACTTATGATTTTGGGGTCAGCGTGAGCAAATATAGGGCCCGCGTAAGACATGACTGGTCCTATACAAACCTTATAAAGGGTTCGCTTGTTTTGGAGGGACATTTTACTGTGTCGGACCAGCATACTATTGAGCCTACTCACATAAAAACGTGCGTTGCGGGTTACTCTTTTGACATGGGACCCGAAAGTGATCCTCGTGTCAAGGGTGACACCTAAATATTTGGCAGACGTATGCCAGGGGACAGGGGTCCCTAGCATACGTATTGGTGGAGTGTTTTTGAGACGGCGTCGTTTATAATCGAAGTGAACGGCGGAGCTCTTCTCCGGGTTCACATCGATGCGTCATTTTTGGAACCAAGCTCCTAGGTCATTAACTGACTTTTGGATCTTGTTCCATATGAATAGCGAGATACCTTTACAATAGAGGGCAGTGTCGTCTGCGAAGAGGGAGAGCTGAACACCTTTCGACGGGATGGGAATATCGTTGGTGAACAGGATATACAGGAGAGGAGCAAGTACTGAGCCCTGAGGGACACCAGCTTTGATGGGGCGCTGAGAGAAGAGTGTTCCTTCGTGTCTAAAACGAAAGGTACGATCCTTCAGTTAAGAGGCCACGAGACGTACAAGACGATCGGGGAGACCTATTTTGTATAATTTGTAGATAAAGCCTTCGTGCCAGACTCTATCAAATGCTTTAGCAATGGCGAAAAAGACCGCGATGGTCTTATGACGACGAGGATAAAAACCGCTGAGGATATATTCCACAATACGGTGAACTTGCTGGGGACAAGAATGTTTCGCTCGGAAACCAAATTGTAGGGGGATGACAAGAAGGTCACCGTCTGTGGGAAACAGATGGAGCCTCATGCGAGTGAGGATGACTCTTTCGTAGAGTTTGCCCATGGCCTTGAGGAGGCTGATGGGACGATGACTGGAGGGGAGGTTGAGAGGCTTTCCTGGCTTGGGAATACCAATGACAGTTGCCTCTTTCCACGTAGTGGGAAAGTAACTAAGATTGAAGCAGGCGTTGAAGATAATGGCTAAAAGGGCTAACACCTGCTCAGGAAAGTGTTTAAGGGCTTGGTTGGGGATGCCATCCGCACCCGTAGCCTTTTTGGGCTTAAGTCCTTTGATGGGGGATGAGATCTCATCATTGGACACAGTGATAGCGTCAGAGGCTGTGGGGGGTAAGTTCCGGCGGCGGACCTCATCCTCCACTGTTTGGATGTGGCAGGGGTCGATGGGTTGAGAGCTAGGAGAGCATTGTGCGGCAATGTTGTCTGCAAAGCACTCAGCCTTTTCCTCGTCCTCGAAGGCAACCGTACCGTCGGGACGGGAGAGAGGGGGAGTGTGTGTAATAGCGTCTATGCGGAGGGCTCTTGCCATCTGATAGTACGCTGTATGAGAGGGAGAGATATTCTCCATGAGCTTACTCTTTTCGAGGTCTCGAAGTTCAGAGAAAAGGAAACGGACTTCTCGTTTAAGACGATTGGCCGTACGTATATTCGGGGGTGGGATAGATTGCTGCTCTCCGGAAAGCAGCTCTCTTGGCTTTCAATAGGTTGCTAATGTAGGGGAAGGCCATCATTATTAGCAACTGACAAGTCAGAAGATATAAATTTTGAAATATATATACGACAAGAGGCAACAATTAGCACAAAGACATTTTCTCCACCAGCATGTACAATGATCTATCTTCCCCCCTCTCCAGCGAAATACTTTTAAATTGATCTGCAAAGTCTTTGGTTTGCCAACACTTATTCATAGAATATGATTCGTGTATGGAAGTTTCGTGAAAATAAACTACATCTAATTTACTACGTTTTCTTGAGATTCAGGATTCTTCGTCATACGCTCCAAATATTCGAATATTTGTATCTTTATATTTTTTCGTTACATTAAAATAGTCATTTTTGACTAGCAATTATATTCAAATCCAATCTCGTTGAGTACAGACTTCTCGTGCTCCATTTAAATTATTTTCTTCTCCAAGGAATTGTAACTCTTTCATTACCGTTGGAATTTGTTTCAGTGCTATTTGAAATTCCTTTACTTTGTTTCTAGTCATTTCTAAATCAAAAAGTTGTTATTTTACAATCTTTTCTTTTATACCAGGCGTACAAAATACGCTTATGGTAAGAGTGACTTAAATATATTATCGCCCTTACAAATATTCGTCGTATGGTAGAATTAGACATAGAAACCCCTATAAACAATAAATAAAGTATTTAAACTAGTTAGTCCTACTTGCCAGTCAATTTTGCATACGCTTCAAAATTGAAGATTGTGGTTGTTCTCCAACTGCTTTTTCACAAACTTTATGGTTTTTCAACATTCATACAAAATTTATAAGTATTTTCGAATAAAAAGAATCGGTACTTGGTAAGGATTGATCTTACACGACACCTATTTGACTAGACCGATAACATTTTGATATTGCCACATGAAAATCTCTATTTTTTTTGTGCCATGACGTTCTGGTATATATCTGTAATTTCAAGAATGCGATACAAGTAAATTAATATCTCTCCATAATGAATTAAAAAAGGAGTGCTCTTAAATTATTTTACACTCATAAACATATTATTTATTTTATTATTTCGCCTATAATAATATAACATATGTCTTACGTTTTAACATTTAAATTGAAACCAAACACTTACACAAAAAATTTAACGTTTAACCGACATTTTATACTGTAAAAGCGGATATTTGCCATAAGTTTTTTTCTTGTCGTAAAAACGTCTGAAACTGATTGGAAAAATGTTGAAACTGATTTTGTACGTTACGCTATAGTGTACACGCATCTTTATAACCAGCCGACCTTAAAAGTTTGCTAAGGAAATGACTGGCTATCCATGAACCTTTTTAAAAAAAAGTCCTGCACTGTATATATTATACATATTACGCTAAGTAATGATAATATATATATATATATATCTGTGTTGTCACACCTGAGGACTAAGATGGAATGCCTCGTTTCCAGTAAAAAGGGTCTTCGGTTCTCTACGTTCACCATACGAAACACTGCAGGTTATGGTAAGCTGCTATTTACGCCGTTATTGTGTGAGAGCGTGGTCCTACCCCGGTTGAGCCGTCCCATTCGTGGCACAACTATAATATAGCTGCAGCGTGGCTCTACCACGTATGATGGGTGTCGTAAGAGGCGACATAGGTAAACAATCCAAGAGATGGGCAGCAGCGTCTAATAATAACTATAAATTAAAAAACTGCGGTTGGCAACCTGCCTGCCAACCCGCCTCGCCTAAGAAGCGATCTATGGCGGAGGCCTATGTTCAGCGATGTGCTTTTGATAGGCCGTACCAGTAAGGAACATGAAAAGTTTTTTTTGAAATCAGATTTACAAACTCACTCATCATGAAATCTCCAAAACTATACGCTCGAGCAACTTGAAATTTGGCTTAATATTAGTAATATAGGATTTTGGGAAATTCAACACCTGAAGGGAAGAAATAGGGTTGTTAAAGCTTGTATATTATGGTATGTATACCTATAATTATGTACATATGAATATGATATAATATGTTGATGAATAAGTGTATACTTACAAAGCCGATCTCGGCGGGCGGGCCTGTGACGTCAGCGATCCCGACGCCGACCCTCAGGGCGTGCGCCGCGGAAAGGCACGCCAGCAAGCAAGCGATCACGAACATCTGCAATCATGGAAAATGACATTGATTTCTACAGAAAACTATGTGAAAGTTTTTTTTATATACATCAAATATATTTTATGTGTACATTTATATATTTAAATATTTATGTATGTATGTGTGTATGAGAATTAACCCTCTTCAGAAATGAGAGGCCTGTGCCCAGCAGTGGGACGTATATAGGCTGTAACTTTAACTTTTATGTTTGTATGTGAATTAATATTTATAATTTTTATAGAATAAGGGTTACAAACGAGCACACAGTCCATCTGATGTTAAGCGGATGCTGTCAGCTGTGGCCCATAGACATCTACATCTATCCTCGATTAAGAATCAAAATGCAGATGCGTTGTCACCCGTTAGGACTAATATGTAATGCCTCTCTTCCAGTAAAATGGGTCTCCGGTTCTCTACACTCACCATACGAAACACAGCAGTGTCAAGCTGCCATTTTACGCTGGTATTCTGTGAGAGCGTGGTCATTGCCCGGTCGAGCCGACCCATTCGTGCTACAACTATACTACTAATATAGCTGCAGCATGGCTCTCCCACGTATAAAAAAGCTAAGCACGAATGTATCAGCGATAAATGTAGATGTCTATGGGTCACAGCAACCACTTACCATCAGGTGGACTGTGTGCTCGTTTGTCACCCCATCCTATAAAAAAAAAAATTCTAATATTTACGCGAACACTACACATTAAATGAAACTAATTTTACGTATTCTATCGCGTTTAATTTAACTTTTTATTATTTTTTATTATTTCAGGTTTGACGTACCGATGTCACAGTTAGCCTTCAGTATTTTAATATTAATTTTTGGTCCAATCTACGCAGAATGAGCATACAGTATCTTAAAGTCTTGCAGTGGTATGCTTGGGTTTGGGTTTAGCATTTAGATTGCTAATCGAAAAACGTTTTATTATAAGTGTGGTTTCACAATAAACTAAATTCTGAACCAGTAGTAATTAAACAAAAGATCGACTTTTAAGAAGTATTGAATAAAAAAGTTTCTGTTTCTGTTTCTTCCTTTTTTTTTATAGGATAGGGTGACAAACGAGTACACAGTCCACCTGATGGTAAGTGGTTGCTGTGACCCATAGACATCCACATCTATCCTCGATTACGAATCAAAATGCAGATGCGTCGTCACCCGTGAGGACTAAGATGGAATGCCTCTTTTTCAGTAAAAAGGGAAAGGAGGCATTCCTGACTAAATAGTTTAAATGATTTAATAAACCATTTCAAAATCGATTAAATAGTTTTAAAGTATTAAACGAACATACAGACAGACGCAGATAAGCGAATTCCTTTTTATATTATAGCGTAAATACTAAAAGTCTGTTAAAAATAAGTTTCTTTTGGCTCATCATCATCATCATTACAATCCTCCACAAGTCCACTGATGAGCATAGACCTCCCCCAATGAATGCCACAGAATACGGTCCTGAGCTCCTGAGCCTTTCAGCATGTCTTACCAGGTCGTCACTCGATCTACGAGTAGTGGAGGGCTGCTCTACACTTTGCTTACCGGTACGATGGTTAAGCTCACGGGGTTGCATGCTGTTAAGACATAAATAACCATTGTTAAATTTTTTGTCCGCATTTTGTCTGTCTGTCAGACCTAATAATCGGAACGGCTGAACTGATTGTTTACGAACAGATTAGAGATCAAAGCTATATTTCATCCGAACAATTTGCCTTTTTTTGTATAAAATAAATGGTTTGTGATTATCTAAATAACGATACATAAAAATATTCTAAGTGCTACTCGGTTTGCGTTTAATTTCTTTCGTCAAAAGTTTTAGAACGTGAGTAATAATTGATTCATTTGCTGTGCTGATCTTACATACGCAAATTATATATTACAGACAAATATTTACACCCAGAACCGGAACATTTTTTTTATAGGATAAGGGTGACAAACGAGCACACAGTCCACCTGATGATAAGTGGTTGCTGCGGCCCATAGACATCTACATCAATCCTCTATTACAAATCAAAATGTAGATGCGCTGTCACCCGTGAGGACTAAGATGGAATGCCTCATTTCCAGTAAAAATGGCCTCCGACCACCTGCACTCACCAAGCGAAACGCAGAGGTAAACCTCTACTTCACGCTGGTTTTCTGTGAGGTCGTGGTACCACCCCGGTTCGAGCCGGCCCATCCATGCGACAGCAAAAGCTGCCGCGTGGCTCTACCACTGTTGATACTTTTACAATTACTTGTAGGCCATACAAATACTTACTCCCTGCAGAATTCGAACCTGCGACCGGTAGCGTCGCAACCAAACGGTTAGCGACTAAGCCGTCGGCTTAATACTTTTACTGTTCTATATTAGGGTACACTGTTTTAATTCATGTTCTAATTTCACAAAGTAGCTGAAGTTTTCCTATTGAAACTAGTCTGCGCTAAGGTTGGTCCACTGATACACAATATCCACATTAAATTGTAAATCATTTGCAATTTTTTTTAAACCGACCTACCAAACGTACATACAGTTCACTTGATGGTAAGTTAACTGTTAAAGATAATAAAAGTGTGAGAGCGGATCTTCAACTTACTCTCTTGCTTACGCAATTAAACATTAAAAGGAATCAGACAGCGTACTGCACTACACATTCAGCATAGAGCAAAATACTGATCAAATCCACTTGATGGTAAGTGGCTACTTACCATCGAGTAGATTTGATACTTGCAACCAACGTCAAACAAAGAAAACTACAGCCACAAATACTTTGTCTCCTCTAACTAGTAACATGGAAAGCATCATAAATAAACCGTCCGTAATGACTTTTTAACGTCCAAGACTTTTTCTGCCACCAGGGCGGCGCCACTAGAAAGTGCGGTTTAATATTTGACAGATTTCATAGCGGGGAAGTTAATTTGTTCGGAAAATGTAAAAGTTATTGTCTTTTTCTGTACTATTAGATATAGTTTACATTAATAAGATTAAAAATAAATTAACCAAACCACACACATTCATAAAAATAGAAAATTTTAAAAAAATGTGCAATAAATTAAAGTGCAAACCACTGACGGATTGTTTTGTGTATTAATATAATACTCTAGAAACTGATACTTTTATTAAAAACCAACTTCTCAATTAAATGACATTGTGTAACAAAATACTTTACCTCAGTGTCAACTAGCGACATCTGGTGAGCAGAAAATTATTAGCCCTCATTATACTAGCTCCTATACCCTTCAGGCGAAATAGGTACGCTTGGCGGCAGAAATAGGTATTATAGGGTGGTACCTACACAGACGGACACCTAGGCAGAAACTGATGCATTGCATTTAAAATAATCCCCTTTGTCCTATGGGGTTAGGATTAGGTTAACGGTAGACTTGTGATGGACTGTAGTGAAAGAGCGGTAAGTCTTAATAAATATTAATTAAAATCTTCTCAGAAAGTCAGGCAAAGCAATAAAATTTTGTACCGATTTTGGCGGGAAATTGACAGGTGGCGCTGCTCCTAGTAAATGGCATGGTTTAAAGAGCTTATAATGCGATTTCTTGTATTAAATGTCTGCGCATGTGAAGTTAGTGAAAACTATGAAACACATGTGATCTGATGATGATGTGAATTTCAAGATAAGGTGTCTGTTTAGACACTTTAGTTTAATATCGTTATCCACAATGGTTGCTGACTCCAGCTGCCGTTAAAATCTCACAAAAACTTCACAATGTGAACAAGTTTTAAAACATCATCATCATCATCATCATTACAGCCCTTCACAAGTCCACTGCTGAACATAGGCCTCCCCCAAATAATGCCACAAAGCACGGTCCTGAGCCACCTGCATCCATCGACTTCCTGCATGTCTTACCAGGTCGTCACTCCATCTCGTGGGGGGACGCCCTACACTTCGCCTACCGGTACGAGGCCGCCACTCGAGAACCTTTCTTCCCCATCGGTTGTCGGTTCTTCGAGCTATATGGCCGGCCCACTGCCACTTCAGCTTACTAATCCGTTGGGCTATGTCGGTTACTCTGGTTCTACTGCGGATATCCTCATTCCTAAGTTTATCACGCAGAGAAACTCCGAGCATAGCCCTCTCCATAGCTCGCTGAGCGACATTGAGCTTTCTCATACGGCCAGCAGTGAAGGACCACGTCTCAGTTCCGTAAGTCATCACTGGCAACACGCACTGGTTGTTTGTTGCGTGCGTGTTTTAAAACGTTAACTATAAAAAAAATTAATAGGATAAAATTTTACATAATACTTAATTTTATCTACAATATTAAAAACTATGATAATAATAAAAAAAAAACTAAAACTAGAAACTTAATTATCATATAGTCCTACTCCCCGCGGTATCGTGCCAAGAACGCTGGCTGCGTTTCCCCGCTGAATGGCTATACTTAGCCTTTGAGCGAGGAAAGAACCAGCCCTCTTATCACCAGCAGCAACGACCAGCCACGGATGGAGTTCCTTTAGGAACTTCACCGCACGTGGACCCCACGGACCGATAGTCTCTACAGCAAATGGCACAAATATGTAGTCATCTCTCAGAGACTCATATTTGCGCCACTTACTCAGTTACAAAGAAATTAGTTTAAAAAACCGGGCTGGCAAAAGTACAACCGCTTGAATTCAAAGAAAAAAAAATTGCGAAAAAATTTGTAGCGATCTACCGTAAATCGAAGCGCAACAGTAACAAATACGAACGGAATCGCCAATAAAGCTTAAAGACTTCTCAATAAAAATATTGTTAGATATGAGGGTAAAAATAAATAATTAAGTAAAATAAGAAGAATTGAGGGTGGAACTGTAGTCGCCCACCTTTCTAGCAGCATAAAGTATCGCGCAGGCGACTAAGACGGATCAGTTGGTAATTCTACGAGTCTTATTATCCATAGAATTATAATTCTATGTTATTATCGTTTTATGCCCGTTGGGCTAAAACATTACCTCTACACTGAATCACTGAGATTCTGCCTAAGTAAGACAAGAGACGTGGTTCTGTTCGTTGTAGTTGTTCTCCTTGTGTAAGTA